ACACACAAGAAATTCTAACCGAAAGTCGATGTAAACAATCATTGCTAAATATGTTCCAAACACGAACAGTATCATCATCGATACTAGCTAATATAGAGCCATCATCATTACGAAATGCAATCGCTTGAATCCATCCTGTGTGACCGAAAAGACGAGCACGTATACGAGTCATTTCAATTTGCCAAATGACAATAATCTTATCCCACCCAGCCGATGCCTATTGAATTATAGCATATGTAAGAATATTAATAGAAAAAAAAACAAGTCAAAAGATACTAACTAGAAATGGTAGATTTGAAAAAGCTAATGCACGAACATTACCAAAATGTCCTCGAAGCATACTAGGACTCAGTGGTAATGGATTATCAAAATTGTATAGATAAACAATATGATCGTGTGAGCCAGTTGCCTGAAAAAAATGAAATTAACATTGTTTTATTATTTATTTCTATCGTTCATTTTAAAGATAAATATCGAACTAGTAACTAAGACTTTTAACAGCAAGAAGACATTGCATCGATCTAATTCATCATAATTTCATACTTCAAATAATAAATTATCTAACTGATATATTTTATGAGAAGAATTTTTTTGATGTTCAATAAAAATCTTATAAAATTCATTTACATTATACAAGAAAGAAAGAAAGAAAGTTTTTATAAGTTTTCTTAAACATAGAAACAAATTTTCTATTTTTTTTAAAACATAATCGACAACAAAAAAAGAAATTCATTCTCACCATCAAATTCAGTTTTGGATGGAAAGAAATCGATTGTACTGCACTTGTATGATGATGAAAATCGTAGATTTTTTCACCTGTCTACAAAAACGTATATGCATTTTAATCAAAAAAAAAATATATCTATCAATCTCGTTCATACTATCACATTCCATAATATTGTTCGACAATCCCATGCACCACTTGCTATTAATTGACTATCTGTTGAAAAATGAAGACAATCAGATGAATGTGTATGACCTTAAAATCAATCGAAGAGAAAAAAGTCTTTTTTTTTTCATTAAAGTTCTTCTACCAGTAAGTGTATATAACAAACAACCAGTTCTTGTTTCATACAAACGAACATTAGTATCATTAGCAGTTGATGCAAAATATCTATCATCATTCGAAATAGCCAATGCTCGAATAATACCTTAAGTTAAGTAAATATATCGGTCTTTTTTTTAAACATTTATATTCTTTTGTTAATTTGACATGCCTGCTTTTTCTTGAATTTTAAATGTTAGATGATCAAATACGGTATTCCATAAACGAATAAATCCATTAATTGATGCTGTAAGAAGTATTTCAAAATCATTTGAAAAAACAAGACAATTAATTTCATCATCATGTCCACCGTATAATGAAAGACTACGATTAGCAAACATAATTCTTCTTAATACCACGTGTATGTTATCAAATCTAAGTTTCAATGTTTGTTGTTATTGCTGTTCGGTTTTGCTTCGTGTAATATTTTTTTTTTTTTTATTGTTTGTTACATCGTAGGAAGAGAACGATAGAGAGCAAAAATCCAAGAGTTGTCGATTATTTTTCTTTTCTTACTTTCATCCTTTAGTAGTATTATAAAAAAAGAAATCGAATTTTTTTCAATAAGACTCAATGCACGAATACAAATGTGAGAGCACACCCCAAGGCGAACATTATGAATTTTCAAAAAAAAATAAACGATTTTTAAAAAGATCGTATAAAGAAAAATAAATTAACACTCGACTAAGTGTTTATTCAAAATATTATCATTATTTTCAACAGAAATAAGAAAGTATGATCGGCATCGGATTCTTTTTTGCGGTTAATAGTAAGCAAAATGAAATTTCGACTGAATAGATATTTATCAGGTCAGACCAAATTTCCAAATTTCAATCTGATTTGATTCGTTCATATAATTATTCAATCTGATTAACAGGTGAAAATTTTATATTCTAGAGATCAAATGTTGATACATTACCTTATTATTCAAGAGCACTTCAACAAAGTTATTTCATTCCATCAACAAATACTTAAAATGAACGTTAATTTAGTGTTTTCTAGGACTTAAATTGTTTGATAGAGAAGAGTTTATTTAAATCTAAAGTAGATGTATTATAAAATTCGTATTCTTGTTGTTAGGAATAGTGATTGTAAAATACAAATGTCCGTGTCTGCTATTATTATTTATTTCCTATATTTTCGTTGCCTATATTCTGGTATTTGTTCATTTTATACCTGATTGTATGTTGTTTTTGTTATTATAATTTCATTTTTACAATTGCAAACAAATGTACTGATGTAATCAAAAATACTTCATTAATTCAAGCGTTTTCTTTTATGAAAAAGAATATTCATGATAATTGTCTCTTTGTTTTAATTTTCTATTTCTTGCAAGAACTTGTTAATATCTTATCTTTATAGTAATAAATTCAGCGAGCAATTGAACATTTATGCAAAGTTATACAATTAAATATATACCAAAAAAATTCAGGAATGTTAATTGACCTACCTTGGTCTGTAAACCACATGATGGTTTCCAAACTGTCGTCAAGGCAGCCCAAGTCACAAAAAAAAAGCGTGGCCTATCGGTCGCTCTGATTTGTAACTATGATTATAAAGTGCAACAATAAGATAAATCTTTAAATATTTATGAATGAAAAAATATTCATTGAAAGTCAAATAGAATACATAATATTCACAGGTGACAACTGACATATAGTAATTTTTTATGTTTTTGAATATCAAAATTTAACATACACTGATGAAATTTATTTACGCCGCTAGATTTATTTTTTAGCCTGATTAATATGCATTACAAAATAATTTCGTTTTATACTGTTAAATAATACCATGTTTTACTTCTAGATTTATCAATTTATCATTAATATTATTGAAATATTGTACTCGAGCTAAAATTTCTGTAGCTTTTGTTAAATCCATTGTGTTCAATGCATTCGATAGTTGTTTCATATGATCATCAATTTCTTGTCGTATTTTAATAGCTAATTCAGTAGGAAATGTTTTTTGATCATTATATTCGTCGATTAATTCTTCATTTATTTCCATAATACGTTTAAGAAAATCTGATTCAACTTGAACTGATGATTCTTCAATTGTTATATTTTCTAATTTAAGTAAATAATGTGCACGTGCTAATGGAGAAGATAAAGTTTTATAAGCTTGATTAAGTAAAGATGATTGATCTTGAGAATATTTTTTTTCGATCTAAATTTTATGAAAATATATTTAAAAAAAAAAGACAAAAATTTCCATAAAATTGATTTTTACTTACTCACATCAGATTTATTTGAAAAAAGATCAGGATGTAAAAATTTCATTTTATTTCGAAACATTTTTGTTAATTGTTTTATATCAACTTCAAAGGAACGTGGTAAATCAAATAAATGAAAATAATCAATTTCAGAACGAACAGGTAATAAAACATGTTTTTCACATGGACAATATGCTTGAGATTCATTTCGATCAATTTTACGTTGACATTGCCAACATTGTTCTATCAATGATGATGTATTGATTGTTGAACGTGGAATGAAAATGAATCTTGACAAACTTTTACAAAGAAATAAATAAAAATGAAACAATGAAATGCTCATAATATTCTTAGTTTTAACTCTTCATCAGTTATGAAATTTAATTGAGAAACTAACATATAGACGGTAGTATCCAACGGAAAAAATAATTTTTTCTGGTTACTCTTTGCAATATAAAAAATATCGAAGTCAATCCGATACTATATCGTTAAGAAATAGATTTTGACATCGCTTATTAATTAAATAAGTATCTATCAATAAAAATTAGACAAGTTCGTTCACTATCTCACGTTGCACAATATGTGACATTAACAGAAATTAGTGTCTAGTAATGATAGTTTTTCTTTAACATGAAAAATGAAAATATAATAAGAATTCTGAAAACAGGAATCAAGATCATTAGTTCCTGCAAAACATTAATAGATGAATCAATGCTACTAATAATCATCAAGAACTTTTGATCGATAAATCTAAAAGGATTGTACGAAAAAACTATTTGAAACCTATTTATTGTTAAGATATTGATTATTGAACAAATCTTTGATTTCTCGATCATATTTATGAAATATTACTACTGGTCTTCGAATACTCAACATCCACAGAAACAACAAAAGAAAAAGAAATTTTTGTTTAAAATTGAAGTTTTCAGAGATAAAATTCTCTCTTTTAGGGTTCAGAACCAGAAGGATAATAGTTAACCCTTGCAAGACATCCAATTGATCGTGATCTCATGAAGTTCAAGGCTAATATTAAAATTCATCGTAATTTCCCATTATTATCAATTAATATTTCGGCAGAACGAATCTTACGATCAGCTGAATTAATATTTACTTAAAGACAAACGTGTTTATCACTAAGTTACATTGACAATATTATTTATTCGTTCTTATGACAAATTTAAAAAGCAATAAAAAAAACTTAACCTTGTCTCGCTGTCTATCTGCTTATATTAATTAAATTTTGAATCCTATATGTTTATGTTTGTTTTATTATTATTTTGTTCACCTTATATGGATGTCAAATATCTTTTTTATTTCACTTTTGCTGAAAAAAATTTGATTGATGTTCTGCCCCGAATCCCGTAAAACAAAGTAGTAACTAAGTGAAAATGTCCTATACAATCCAGCATACGACGAAGAAAATCATCCTGCGACGTTTTCTGATGAAATATACGAAAGAATAAATTCAAAACAAATGACATAACTAAAGATGTTATTCTTATCAAATATTGAAATTTCAAATCTCAAACGAGTAATGCATTACATGTCAAAAATGAAAATTATTAATAAAATCATCTTGTATAAATTCTTACCGATTATTAAATAATCGAACAAACATCTATAAAAAAAACACATTTTTCAATACATTTAATCATATAGAAAGGAGAAGAAAATTTTTATTACGAAATAATCAAATCAATAATTAAAAAAAACAAAAAAAGAAGTGAAACGATTTTCATTAAGTTATTCATTTTTTGATGATGGTACAACAAAAATATGTGTTGGTAATGTTTTATCAATTGATTCATCAATTTCTTGTGATTGTGGACGAATCATTGATAATTTAAATTTTGGTAATTGAACAAAACCACAAAGTGTTGCAATTAATGTAAAACTAACATCTGATGAACTATGTGGTGGAACAAGTAATGATGTCTAAAATAAAATTAATATTTTTAATTTATATAAAAACAAAATAAAATGAAATGAAATGAAATTTTATTTACCATTGTACTACCAGAAACAGCAACAATAAGATTAATTTGTTCGAGATTAACTTTATATTCATGAACAATATTTGATCGATTATGAACACGATAATTTATTTGAAATGGTTCTTGTAAAGGTACATTATTTGGTATTGTTACTTCAATATAAACTTGTTGTTGTTCAACATTAAAATCAGATAATGAAAATGTTGTACATAATTCAGGAATATGTGGATGACTTGATCTATAATAATAAATCATAATCATTAATTCGAATGAAAGAAAAACAAACTAACCGTTTCCAATATAAACTATAATCACCAACAAGAAGATTATGAACAATAGGTGCAGCTATTGGTTGAGTACGAAGACAAAAACCTTCAGTTACTACTTCATCTAATTTTAATTGTACTATAAAAGAGATAACAAAAACCAGTCAAATTTTACTAAAATTTTAAACATTTCACATTTGTTTATCAAACGAAAGAAAAATTACATACGAGATGTTTCATATGCATTTTTCTTACGTGTCAATAGATGGAAATTCTTTACTAAGGTGAAAAATATAATTTGGCAGTAATACGAAAAAAAAACAATCAACTAAGTTTCTATCACTAACAAAAGCTTCGGACTGTTCGAGCAAAATACAACGGAGATATTTTTATTTTTTACCATAGTATTATTTTCAATCCATCCTGTCTATCAATTTATATATGTCAATGGATATACAGTCTATTAGAAAATTTTTATGATATTCTTCGCTGGTAATATAAACTTTGAAGTCTATTATTTCAATCATCACTCGTGTGTTATGGGTAGGAATCTGTACGAGACTCCGGACTCCGATTCGAACTCTGACGGAGTCGGAATCGCAACAAGCAAAAAAATTTTCGGAGCTGGAATCAAAATTATAAAAAAAACAATCCTCGAAGTCGGGACTGATAGTAACTTTTAGGTACCACATAGGGGGCGAGCGGTTACTAATAATTTTATTCTTCCTCCTCCTCCAGTCATCACTTGCGACGCTGAAGAAATTTTCGGAATCGAAGTCGGAATTTTCAGAGTCTAGATCGGAATGAACAAAAAGAATATTTTCGAAGTCGAAGTCGGAATTGGAGTTAAAAAACCTTGACTCCGCAGGTTCTTAGTTATGGGGCAGGTGATTAAAGGTTTATAAGCATCAATTAACGCGTCAAAGATTATTAATATATTTTTACTGACTAGACATATAAACAAAGTGTCGTGTCAAATAATTTCTGTATGTCTTCTAGTGATCCATCAGAGGATATACGCGACACCAACTCGGCATTAATTGTACATAAAAAAAGTAAATATTTTATACAAAATAATATACGCATTGAGATGCGCAGATTGATATATATATATATATATCTGATGAGGAAAAAAAATACTAGCGAGTAATATCTAGGAGAATTCCTTCATCAGATAAAGAAAAATACATCAAAATGATGAATATTTTATGTGCTTGAAAAATTTTATAAATAAATATATATATATATATATATAACTTACTATTGTCTACTTGTGATTCAATTGCACATTCACTAATAATAAATTGACTCTAATAAATAAAACAAATTCATTTTTTAATTAAAACTATCATATAAAATCTATACTTACAGGTTTAAAATTGCTACTAACAATAGTAATTGGAATAGTTGATGTACATTTTGTATCAATCATTAAAATGAATGGTTCTTGAGCCCGTAATGAAGCAAGAGGTTCCATCTACGAAGAAAAAAAAATGAAAATATATGATTTTTTTTTAAAATATATTTACCATCATTCCCATTGTTTGAAATTGAATAGAAAATGGATTAACAACAGCTAATTGAATGATTACTTCTTTCATACAATATAAGTTTAATCGTTCATAAGACAGCTAAAATAATCGTATTTTAATTCGTCTTAGAAACAAAATAAAATAGAACAAACCCGAATAGTAATATCTCGCAGACGATTATTATTACATCGTATATATAAATCTTGAGCAATCTTTAAAATAAAAGAAAATAAATAAATAAATAGATGTTTATATAGTTAAATATTTAAATAAATGTTTTATACTTCATCATCATTTTTAATTGTTGCAAATGTCATTGAACATAAATGTGCAGTTGTTTCATTATTACTATCCGTTATTGCATAAGAAAGAAAAGCTGCAAATACGTAATAAATATATCAACAAAATAAATTGTAAATTTTAATTTACTATCATCTGATGTTTGAGAGATTTCATCTGAACTTGAACACATACAAGTCAAACTAAAAGAGAAATTTTGTTATTATATCATGATGTTGTCGAAAGATATCCAACAAACGCGAATCAATAATAGCTTATTTGACAATTCAAAATTCTCTATGGGCCCTAATTCTATAGATTTCATTTTCTTTTTAAATTTCAAAGAACATGTCACACTACAGCACTCTTTTTTTTCTATGCCAAGAAAAAGAATGACATATTCAATACCTTGAAAAAAAAACGAAAAATTCCTATCTATTTGTATATGGTGCGCATTTTATATAATAAGAAATAAAAACTTAATTCAAAAAAAAGGTACAGTAGTTTCAATACTCTTTCAAACAAAAGAAAACTCAATAAGCTTCAATGAAGCTCGTTCGAGAATTCTGAGGAAAGCATAAACAGAGAAGTGGCAAAATAGATTTTCCACACTTTCTTACAAAAGAAGTCATATCTGATGTAAAAACTTCAACATATATGTAAATACTTAGCTAAGTATTGAAAATCAATGATATCTTACATTGCTGAATGTATATCAACATTTTCACAATTTTTTATTCGAATTTTAATAGGATAAGATTCATAGAGAAGTACAGGTAATTGATGTTCAACAGTTAATTGTACTTCTGCTGCTCTCATAATAATACTAAAAATAAAATTTTATAATTTCAAAAAAAAAACAAAAACTTTTTTTCATTTTCAAAATATAGTTTTACTTTATTTTTCGTCGAATTGGTAAATTTTCCCATAGAATATGACCAGCTTTTGTTCGCCATTTAGGTGTAAGAGGTGTTTGTTGAAATGATGGATTTATTTGTAAAGTAGTTCGCCATTGAAAATCAATATGAGTTTGATCTATTGTTCCATAAGTTAATGAAACAGATATAATCTAAAAAGAAAAATTCTTATGTTTTTTTTTTTTAATAATAAATTATTTTTCATTTTTACTTCAAGTATTCGTTGAACATGATCACTTTTAGGTGCAAAATTAAAATTTAATATTCGGTGTTCACCTGGTGAAAATTTTAATTGTTCACTATTAGTAACATTAGCTGAACCATCGTATTCTTTTAAATTAAAATGTATTGATAATTGACTAAATTCAATAGGTAATGGAAAATCATTTCTAAATATAAAAAATAATTTTTTATTATATTATATATTGCGATGATGAAAGATGCGCATTATGAAACTAGTGTACAAAATAATAATTTTGATTTTATTTTCAAAATCATACACTGGAATATGTAGATATATGAATAAAGCACAACGAGAACAATTCATATTATCAGATAACTATGGTAAATATCACTTAGAGCAAACCAACAGTTCGTAGAACGGTTTTAAAGAACCTTGTCGGATAAGGTAACCTATTCAGAAATGAAAAACCAAATATACCATGTTGTAGAGCTTTTTGAGGCGCGTCGAATGGTATATAATAAATCCTGTTTTCATAAGACTTTGAAGGAACTAGAGTGAATTTACTGATAGACGACAACGCACCTACACTCACATCCACCCATACCCACACTGACAAGATGACCGGAGATGCTACATATATGAGGTTGTAGCCCGTCAAAAACTCTGCAAAATCGTATGTGAGAAAAAATATTTTACGAATACTTTCGACTAATCCCAAGGACCAGAATATTCAGTAACCTATCATACTTAGGTGAGGGTGTGAGTATGGGTGCGTAGTCGTCTATCAGTAAATTGACTCTAGTTCCTTCAAAGTCTTATGAAAACAGGATTTATTATATACCATTCGACGTGCCTCAAAAATCTCTACAACATGGTGTATTTGGTTTTTTTATTTCTGAATAGGTTATCTTATCCGACAAGGTTCTTTAAAACCATTCTACGAACTTTTGGTTTGCCCTAAGTATGATAAAAGAGTGTTAGTTGACTTATGCGTATTGTTTGCACAATCTGCGTGATTTTTGATGAAATTCTCTTAGTATTATTTTGATTGCGTTATGATTACAGTTTATTGTATGAACACCATGATGTTTAACGATGAATACATGTGTGATGTTCGTAGCAAAACTACATGTATATATTATAGATGTTCATGTGCGATGCTTTCTTTTACTACTGCGACGGTACTAACGGTAGCTTGTTTTGTACGCGATTGTAAAGTTGTATTTGATTTTGGTATCTACACGTCCAACTGACAGAGTCATGAAGAATCTGATAGATTCAATCCAGCTGTACTAATTTAGGACAATGAAAGAGAAAATTTTTGAAGAATTTCTTGAAAACCATCGCGACAGCAGTAGGTTTTCAGTCACGATGGGCATTTCTGTTGTTTATACGATAATGATAATTAAGTTCTTTTTTATGGTTTTCACGGCACCAGTAAGTTTTTTCGTTAGTTTGATGGTCTCGAATATACGAATAACTGTCTAATGTCATTTTGACCTTTTGTAGTAGTACTGAGAACAAACTATTCTGATATCGAATACTAATGTTCATTTTTTTTTGAAACCTTAGTATTTTCATAACAAGCTTAGCTTAACAAGTTCCAAGTATTTTATGTCTTTTAATTATAACTCTTAGTTTAGTAGATCAGGCAAGTACACGAATATTAACAATTTATCTCAGTAGTGTTCCTATTAAGGTCAATTTGAACTATTCAAAATGCTTTTTTGTGTTTCTTTCTGGTGTAATCATCTTTTAAAGTGAACGATAGATTTCGTTATTTCGTGCGTATTCCTATACATTTTCTTACTTGAGCGCAACTTGAAGTGTAATTTCACTATCAACTGATACAGCTTCATGAGTAAAATAGACTTTGCATTCCACTAGAATTAAAACAATCATTTAGATAAAAAGCAAAGTTTTAAAGAAATTTTCTTACAAAGTCCTTTAAATGTATCAGCATCAATTGGAATTGTTTGTTTCTTAGGTATGGCCTTCCATTGTTCATCTATTGATGATATACTAGATTCAACTTGTGGTACAATATTCTTTAAATAAAATTTATTATTACATAGAAGATTGAAAAGTTTTTATTTTTTATTTACTTTAATAATTAAATTTTCAAGATTTGTTTGTGTTTGAGTTTTTACTTGAATTGATAAATTAATATCTACAATAAAAAATATTATTTTTTTCAATATTTTAAATAAAAATAGCAAAAAAAAAAAAAAGATTTACTTGGATTTAGTATTTCAAGACTAAATCGTATCCAATCTGGAAGATTAACACTCAAATAAGCACATCTTAAAACAAAAGAAAATTAATTGTTTTTTTTCTTTTAATATTTCAATTAAATTTTTACTTTAATGCAGCAGGTAATATCGCTTCTAATATTGGCCACCAATGTTCAGTTCGATAAGCTTGTACAATATGATTATAATAACTAAAGTTCAGAAACTTAATTTTTAATTATAAACTTTAAATTCTTTACTTTAATGCTGTATCATAATTTTTACTTGATACATATTCTTCAGCTAGATCATACACTAAATACATAAGAAAAGATTTAATTAAGAAATTAATTGCAAAAAAAACAAAAAACAAATCATACTTAAATAAAGTTTCATTCGATTTGATGAATGTTTTTTAAAATGATTAATAGCTTGAACTAACAATGAAATAATTAATTCCTAAAGATGATATTTAATCATTTATATATTTCATTTAAATTAATTAAACATACAGAATGATTTACACGAGATTCAGCATCTCGTAATGCAGCAATGGCTTCTCGTTCTTTCTGAGCATCACTTATTTCCATACCTTAAATATGAAAAATAATAATCATTAATCTATAAAATATTTTTTATTTCATCAGTTATGAGAATAAGTTATTCCTGGAAGTAAAAAAATACTTAATCTCGTTCGAAAATGTAATAATCTTTTATCATAAACTTAATAATTGTTGAAAATAAGATATTAAAAATAATGCTGAAGACAATATAAAACAAGACAAGCAAACGAATAGAAATAAATAAAATAGCGAACGAAAGCAGAATGCAACTTAGATATTAGAGTAAAACTTATACCAAAGATATATATTTACATAAGCAAACAAACTTATAATATTTTACATAATCCTTAGTTAGACTGTTTTTGCTTATCGTTAATAAAGAGCAAGCGAAATTATTAATTATTTATTTTTTTTTATAGCATACACAAATTCGTATTTAAAGTAAATTTCTATAAATTTATTAGTACTTAGAGGTAATTAAATAATTGATTTTGTTTTTTTTGCAGATAATAAGTATGATCGTGAAGTTTTCATTTACAAACTATACAAATACAGTTTAAAATTGTAGATCTTCTTTTGTTATTACATGAACAATTGATAAATCAAAATAATTAAATTAATCTTACAAGTTACATGCTTCCTAGATGATAGACTATTTTAGTTTGCTTTCGATAATGATATATTATCGTAAATATCTATTAAACAAATTGTAAGAGATTCAAGTCGTTAATGAAAATACATAATCAAATGGTTGTTAGACACTATAAAAGTTTTTTATTTCAGTCTACGCGAATAATTTTAAAATTTTAGTTGTCACATTTGTTGATTGTTTAAGACCATTTCTTTCCTCAAAGCAAATTGAGACACATACATGAAGAGATAGCTCAATGTCTGATCTTTCATAAACAACATGTCCTTTTATTTGGCATCTGGTTTTTCATTATTTCCTTCTTGAAGAATATGTTTTCTTTTTCTGATTGCGTAATGTAGAATTCTCTGTAAATCTTCATTATGTACATTTAATTTTTTTTTTATATGAAAGAGTATGTCGAGATAGAAGACATGACAGAGTCTCTTTTTTAAAATAGACTTTATTACTATTATAGAAAAAAGAGTACTTTAATAATAAGAACACCATTTTTCTTTTGAGAGTATTGCGAAACATTGAACTTTTCTTCATTTAAAAAGTATAAATTCTAAGTAGGCTATTTTCTATCCTCGTTTGTTAAATATCTTCGTCGAAAGTCATAATATAGGGCTGAAGACTTTGCCATAGCCTCTCCATTATGGTTCCAACATATCAGAAAAATTTCATGCGATTTGAAGTACTTTATTCACGACCGATTTTTGAGAAGAGTTGATCTTAACTCAAAACTTCACAATCATACTAATCAATAATAAATTTCTATGAATTTAGGATAATATGAAATATTGTTTAATCTTCTAGCCTTCCCATCACCATTATTTAATATCAAATATAATTATTAAATATAGCATAATATCTTTTTAGAATGCATATAACCGCTTAAAATTAGTATACTTTATCATACCTAATAAATAACCCATCAAAATGTAACTAACCTTTTTGTACTTTAGTTAAAGTTCTACCTACAATGTGTTTACTTTAGTTTTTCTATTGTATTTTTTTGTTTGTTTTAAAAACGATTTAATATATTTTTCAGAGTCTTAGTTTCTCTTTCTTTTCTAGTCTTTTTTTTAAATAATTTACTTTGATGATGTTGTCTCCATGGTCTTTGTCCAAAAAATTCTGTTGCTTTTAAAAATTCACTTGGATCAAAATCAGCTTGTTCAATTCGACGACATGTTTGTGCAATTTGTTTTCGAGCCATAGATTGATAAGCTGCTTCTTGATAATAAAAACCTGGATGTTGAGTTTGTATTGCTAATGGACAACGTGTAAATAAATCACCAAATGTTTGAAATCTAATTACAAAGAGTAACACAAAAAGAAAAAAAAAACATGATTTCAAATTTCATATTTATAAATAAACCAAACAAACAATGAATTACTGTTTTGAAAGCCATGCTTTATGTTCGAAGACTAAATCAGTTGGACCTATTTTACTTTTAAATATATCAGCATGACGACGAAAATGATTAATTGCTTCAACTGGTTGAGATAATTCAAATGAAATTCGACATATCTTAATAATATTAATAAGAAAATTAATTTCATTATTTTATTAATAAAAAAAAAAGAAAAACAAGTAGTTTCTTTTTTTTCTTTTTACTTTATAAGTTAAAAATCCAGCTATAATTTTCATTTCAAGTATATTTGTATCATGAATACGAGCATTTTCTGTTAAATAACTATATGCATTTTTATATGATTTAACAGCACTTGGAATATCTTGTTTAAGTTCAGAAAAAAATCCAACTTTAAATTGATGACGTATATGTAATAATTGATGTGTTATATTATTTAATGTTTCTTTATGTTTTTTAACACGACGTATTTCATTCGTATAATAATTTTGACTACTTTCAATAAATGTTTGTTCTAATCTATACATAAATTTTTTAATAAAAAATTTAAAAAAAAAATTTAAGTTAACATTCAATACTAACCTATCAATCCATGCAGAAAGATTATCAGGTTGTGGAAGTACAGGTAAAACACATAGAGAACGTTTTGGTATATCAAAATAATTACAAAGTGTATTAGCCATTTGATCACGTTCGGAACTATAGACATCGTCGACTTAAAATAGAAAAACTAAATTAATCTACGGACAATATTTTTATGTTTCTAATGAAATTTAATGCTAAACTTTGTAAATATTCAATTCATTTGTTAAATATCTCAAAAACTAGCGATTTCAAAAGTAATCTTTTCTCTTTCGTCCTAAGCAGAAATAGATATAGAATTTTAAGTTATACAAAACTGTTAACTTTATTTTTCAAAAACCTTCATCCTTGACGACATTAAATTTATATGATTCATATTTATTCAGTCATTTCACTACGATTATCTATTCTTTGTTGATGCTTACTGATTTACATAAAGTCTTTCCTCATTAAAACTGATGTCAAAAGTAAATTACTTAATACTAATAAGATAGAGAATTTTGCACTCAATGCCTCAAGAATTTCGTTTTTTTGAAGGTTTCCGAAGACAATGTTGACAAAAAACATAACTGTCGGTATTTTTGAGTCGACATTGGAAAATCATGTTTTCAAAATGCTCTATGAAATATTTATTATTATGCTATAAAATTTAGAGTTTAACATTGAATAAAACGATATAAATAGTAAATTGAATCGTGAAAATATTTATAATGTTTTAAATTAGAACACAACAATGGTAGAAATCTAACAGAAAAAAAACTTTTTCTAATACTTTCTCATCTTTTAGTTTCATATTTGACTATCATAGGTAGACGATTAAGTGGGTGTTCTTCATCTAAGTTTTATACTGATAAGAGAAAATTGTTTGAGAAACAAAGTTAAGAATTCAGTAGATCTTGAAATTTTCCTTCTTTAAGTGTGAGACGAAATTTCTTTCGATAATAAAAAAGTGCGTCAAGATTTAATGTAATATCTGCTGGGACATTTGTTAGTAAAACAAGCTCGTTCAATATCTGTTATGTTCTGATATAGATCCTATTGATAACGACTTTGAATTTTTAAATCAAATTTAAATACAAGAATAATGTTTGTCAATAATTTTCAAATAATATTACATTTACAATAACATTTTATTTTATTTATTCTGATAAAATAAGTTCACCGTTAAAGAATAAATTCATCTATTCGATATCTATATCAATTTACTAAAAACAATTTTATAAATTTACCCGTTGGAAAACTATTTTTATTTTGAAGAAGTACTACTGATATAGCAGCAGCACGAGCATCAAGATTTGTTCTAAAAAAAAAGAAAGACATTGATTAAAATTAATATATATCCATTATATATTCAAATAGATGTTTATATACGTATACCTGACCATATCAATTTTATTTTTTAATTCAATTTGTTTATCTTTAAATAATGAATCATTCCAATCAAGTTCAAAAAAGATAACTATTAAACTTGGTACTAAATGTAAATGTTTATGCATCCAATTTGTTTTGAGTATGCCTTTTGGAACATACCATTCATATGTAGCACGCTAAGAAATAAAATAAAATATAACTATAATGAATAAAAATAAAACAAACTTTTGCTTTGCTACGTGGATATTGTTCATCGATATCTACAAGTCGATAACGTAGTGGTGCATTAGCTCGTTCTTTATCAAGTAATTCCCAAATAGAACGATGTACTGGATGTTGACGTGTATTAAGATTAGCTAAACATACCAGACCTCTTGGAACAATAGATAACTCTTCAGGCATAACACAAGCCCAAGCCATTTTTAGTTTTTTATATTAAAAAAAAAAGGATTTTTATGTTTTGTAGTTTTTTTGTAACGAACTAAGATAACTAGTATGATTCATTCGTAACCCAATAGTCATCTTTTTCACCAATACAGTTACTTAAACACAGCGCCATCTTTCAGCATTGCTTACAGTCCTTAACCAGGACGGCCAGATCTTTTAAATTAACAATGAACACTGTCGAATTGTTAGATCTATTTTCTGGAACGCTTTTTGACCTTTTGAATTATCATATTTTACCTAGTTTGGATTTTTTATGAGTTTGATTCCAACTTCTTATTGAATTTTATCTGTAACACTGTCATTATTCTGCAACTATTACATAGTGGTGGCGAAACCAGGATTTTGTGCTAAGAGGCTGCCCATGTCCTTTGAATCGACTAAAAATTGCCGATTAATCCCGATTCATCGAAACGATAATCGTGAGCTGAATCGCGATAGAATTGCCGATTATTCCCGATTATTTCAGCGATTTTTACGATAAATCGTGATTTTATGCAAGATTTAACTGTCTGTTTACTGATATTTTCTACTATTTCATTGGTTCTTTTGGAGACACATATTTGGATTTTTTCTTGAATTTAATTCAATTTTTTTTGTTCTCAAGATCCAAGCCGAACATATCGTGCGATCTTTCTGATCTCGAGCTGGTCCGATTCTTATCAGACCGCTTCAGTGTAGTCCTCTCCAGTTCATGGATCGGGATTGGCATTTCCTTGATTAAAAATAACCAAGAAATAATTTATCAGAAAAGTATATTTCGAAAACTTATTTGTTATGCATTGAACGGCGTTGTTTATATATCCGTCTGTGTTCATAACAAAACGGTGAATGAATAATTGTCATGATTTATCAATGATTTTTGAAAATCAGCTCTTCTCCCATAATCGCGATAAAATCTGATATAATCGTCGATCTTTTAAAGAAATACGATAAATCACGATTTTACGCCAATTTTTTAGAAAATCGCGAAAATCTCGGTGATTCTCACGACATGGGTGATTTCTCCATTCGACTCTCCCTGTCTCCACTACTGTTACATCATGCAATTTTGAGATTACTACTAACATACAATCATCTGAATCTAAAGCCTACCCGAACTAAACGACACATGCGTGAGTATAAATAAGATTGACGAAAAGAAAAAAATTGGTATCAGCAAGAATTTTCATACACATTGCTGATAGAAAACAAAAATATTTCAATTAAATATAACTTGATATATGTGCTTAGACGTAAAATAATAGCTTTTCGAATGATACATTAAAATTTCTGATTAATAACTACTGATCAAAACATCTGACATTTTTCTCAAAATTGCTATTAGAAAATTCAAGAATTTGTAAACTTTTGAAGTAAAATAAAAGAAATAATTACAAAGAATATTTAGCAAAAAAAACAAAAATTAATGTGAAGTGCGTAAACGTTGTTCCATAACAACTGCTAACGGATTTTCAATAGGCTCTTCCATATCAATAACAGTCATATGTCGATTTTTTTGTCGTCGTCGATAGACTACACCTGAACCAACACCTAATAAAATTAATAAAACACCACCCATTCCAAGCATAATACCAATAAATTTATAATTAACACCATCATCATTATTTGCATCTGATTCGTCTGGATTTGGTTTATCGATAGAACATTTTGATATAGTTAATTGTGTTTGAATATCACAATGTGTTCGTGTAGTATTAAATAGACATATTGGTTGTATTAATGAATCATTCATAATTATTTGTATTTGTGTATAATTAAAAAATAAATCAACAATACAATTACATTCATGTGTTTCATCTAATTCAAATTGAAATAAATTTGATGATTGTTGAAATATTGTAAAATATGAACAGAAATTATCATCATTAAATTTATAACCAAGTAAACTTATTATAATATTTTGATTTCTTGAATTACTTAAACGTTTAAGTAAATTAATCATCATATTTTCAGTTAGATTTGTATGTGAAATATTAATTGAAATAAGATTAGACATATTAGGAATATAATTATGTATGAAATTTTCAGTATTTTCATTAATAAATCCTTCAGAAAAATCAATTGTTTGTAAATATTCTAAAGTTTTTAATATATTTGTTTTAAGAAGTAAATCAAATTGTTGTTGTTTAAATATTAAATGTTTTATATGACTATATGGAAGCCAATCAAAGTTTTCATCAAATATATTAATAGAATTATTACTTAAATCAAGTTTATCTAAATTTTGTAAAACTCCATCAACGAGATTTGATGAAAATTTTTTCAAATTATTATTATTACGTATAATTAATTCTCTAAGTATAAGTGATTGTGCTTGAAATGTATGAATATTAATAAATTGAAGTCCTGTTTTTGAAATTTCTAAACGTTCTGTTGTTATGAGAAATGATGGTAAACTATTATTAGTTATTTGTATAAATGCTGGACATTCAAGAATATATAAATTTTTAATATTAGCAGATTTTTGCATTATATTTGAAAATCCAGTTATATCTGATTGTTCAAAAATTAATTCATTAATATGTAAATCTTCACCAAAACAACTCGTATCAAATATTGAATGTCCATTAAAATTCTTTATATTAAAAAAACGTAAACGATTTATTTTTATATGATTAAATACATTTAATTGTAATGTTATATTTGATGGATTAATTGAATGTTCAATATCAATTGATATTGTTGAATTATTTAATATAATTATATTTGATGAAAATACATCAGACTCAATTATTGTTATATTAATAAGATGAATTGTTATTAAACTATTTGTAAGAAATGTCATATTTTGAAAAGCATATGTTTGAATTTGTTGAAAATTACGAAAAATATATTTCTCAACAGATGGTAATAATGAAAATAAAGAAAAATAATCATTTTCCGTTTGATTACCATAATTAGCATCACATATTACTACATTTGTATTTGTATCACAAGTACATAAGTCAATAAATGAACAATTCGAATGAATTGTACTTAATTGTGAGGTGAATATACAAAAATAGAAGAGATAATGCAAGAACATTATTGATGACGAATAAAATATCAAGTATGACAATGTAAAAGTGTTTTGTTTGCTACTGACTTTTATCTTTATTTAATGCACTATCGCATGATAAATTTTACTGTAAGAAAAAGCAAACAAACATTGAAATATGCTTGAATTAAACAATATCCTATTGTTATTGAAGACCAAAGTTTATTGACGTTATAAATTACATACAGAGAATTGTGAGAGTTTTTTTGCTCTCTGAAATCAATGGAAAAGAATTCGTCTAGTAAATGAATAAAATATAAAATTCTAAATGTCTTTAGTGATCTTACAAACATGTTCTAGAAATGATAGGCATAAAAATAATATCACAGAATTCCAATGAGTAAGGTCGTAAATGTTATTATCTGTTTGTAAATAATGAATATTTTAATTTGAAACTTATGAATATGAACAGAGTGGGTGGTAGAAATATCTTTTTTTGGCTTTTTTCAATTAAGTCATCTGATCTATTCATTGTATCTTTTTTTTATTATCTACGTAAAACAATGTTTCAGATAATATTTCAATTCTAAATAAGAAACAAAGTCCATTAAAATATTAGCAAAGCTTTCACTTTTTATCTCATGTGAAACAATGTATTTTTTTTTTTTTGCTAACATATTTCAGTTTATACGATTGTTTATCGAAAGCGAAAACTAGATGCATAGATAGAAGGGATTCATAGTCATAAAAAAATACGAAAAACTGATATACAGAAAATTTTTTGTCCATTATTTTTTTTTTCTTTAGTTTTAATGATATCAATGTTCCATGAAATTTTTAAAAACAATAAAATATCACCATGACCAACTAATGAGAATATTGAGACTGCTTACTATAAAGAATCATTGTCATTGAGTAATAGACTTCATTATCATTTTTTTTGTATTTATTATCTAAGTAATTGGATGACTGGTATTTTATTACTCTAAAATTACCTAAGAAAATAATTAGAGACTAGTTTCATTTTACGCAAATCCTACGCAGATAAAAATAAACATTTTTTGCACATATATATAAAGATATATATATCTGTATATCAGAATCATTTCATTTCCATTGAATAACACTAATACATTGAATAGTTCTCTAACAATGGGCAAGGTAAAACACATAAATTTATGAAAAGAATAAGTATTTATTATATGTACATTGTAGGCTAATATCTTCAAGTTTACCTCATATTTACGAATTTTCATGATCTTCTTTATACTGGTTCTTTGTATCAAAAAAAATCGTGCATCAATAAATGGCATTAATGATCCAATATCTTTTTATAATAGTGATGATGAATCTGGATTTCCTATTAATCGAGATAAATCATTTGATTTAAAAGAATTCATCCCTGAAGATATTGAATCAAGTCAACATAATGCTTGGTCTCGTTTATTTCACAGTGAAACTAGTCAACCAAGAATTACAAATCGTTCACGTTATCCATCAAGACTACATAGTCATAGTTCTCCAAATGGTCGCATGTACATTATACCATTTGATAAACGTACAATTCCAATTGAACTTCAAAAAGCTCTTTATGCTCATGGAATTGTAGGTCGATGACATTAAAAGAGTTTTAATCAGAAATATTGTAAAACATGATTTGTTTTTTTCTTGCGGTAAATAAATAAGCATAAAATGACATTTGCGATGCAAATAATACACTTTAAGTCTAATGATTGTTGTTATAATAAGTTAATAATTATTTCTAAAGTCAAATCTTGTTTCTATAAGTTCAAGCACTATATTTATTAATTCATTGGTTAACGTCATCTTCATAAAATTCAGTTCCTTATGGTTACATCTAAAAATTTGTTTTCACTAAAATTTATAAGTTCTTTGATGAAGAATCTCTATCTGATACTGCCCTCTGTCACCGTGGTACTCATGACAACTTATAGATTAAATTTTTGATTATGGTTGTTGACAGTAACTTATAAAT